GTGTGTAATAAATTGGATCGATTGATTGAGGCTAACCTCAGAATAACATGCTGGTTCTTGCTAGCAGCTTGTCCTCCTGAGGCTATGACATGCTCTTGTCTTGTCACTGCTACAGATGGACTCAGTGCACCTTTACTCGTCGGCCCATATGCTCATGGCTTCACACCCGATGCACATGCAACCACGTGTCTTGACAAAACATTGTACATGTGATGTACATGTTTAGTGCTGAAGGGATCGACTGAAATCAGCCTTCAGCAAGCCCTAGTCGGCTGCTACGTTGTCTGCTGTCTACATAGGCCGAGACCTCCTAAAGCATCATACTAACTGAAATAAAACCTTTTAAGTGGCTGATTTAAAGTGCTATCCATGTGCAGCATAATCATTTTCTCAAATGCACCACTTTAATACTGCTCGCATGACAGATTCCACAGAAGACTTACAACAGCAAGGATTTTTTGTGTATCTTTTTCCCTTCCGTAAAGGAAAAGTCACAGAAAAATGAAAATTCTGGAAATGAAAATGATTTACTCACCCTCATGCCATTCCAAAACCCTTAAGCCTTTTTATTCATTTTCAAAACACAAATTAATATAATTTGAATAAAACCTGAGTGATTTCTATCTCCTCATTTAAAGTCCATTATACCAAAACTTTTAAAAACGTTGATAAAGACATAAAATTAAACCATGTGAATCTAAATGTGTGTTGTTTATATGTTAATAAAAATATATATAAATCTGTTTATCATATGAAGTGACAGTGTCTTGGATTAAACCACACTTAATAAAACATCAAGGTTTTGGTGGAATGGACTTTCAACTAGAGGTACAGAAATCTCTCAGGTTTACATAAATCTTGTTTTTTGTTTTGTATTTTTTCAAAGATGAACAAGGTCTTATAGGATTGAAACCACAATTGATGTCAGAATTTGTGAACTATCCCTTTAAAACATGAAATCTCTATTCATTGTTTTTTCCATTAAAGCACATGGACATGTTGAAATCTGTTTTTTGTTTTGCTCGAGGCATGAATGGACCTTTCATCAACAACTTTCCGTTTAGCTCTTGGTGTTAATATTGTAATAAACCTCTCTTTTATCTTAAAGAGGTTCAATCAAATTAATGGAGGCCAGATGGTATATCACAACACTAGGATTTTATAGAAACTTACTTTATTTGACAATTATACATAGAAAAATATAACCGTTATGTAAAGAGACATTTAAATAAGTCCAACGAACATTTCACTCCGTACACCTACACTAGGACAAACGGCGCTACACAAGTGAAACTTCAACACTGCACGACACTGCACTCTAATGGTTATTCCCAGCCCCACACGGCACACTAGAAATCGTGATCACACAATCGGTTTAACAGGTGAAAAGATCAGCGCCTCCCCAGTCCCGTACACGGAGACGGAGTAATCATGTTCATATCAACTTTAAAACTCAGAACTACCATACACACTCACACATACACGCAACACATAAAGAGACTTAAAATGTAAAACACTTCCCCGTTTCCCGGACACAAGACCCCACCCCGGGGTCTGGGGAAAGGAATCAGCCGTGCCGGATCCGTATCTTCAAAGAAAGCACGCACTCCTTTTCGCTTTATTATCGTCTCCGCAGTTACGGCAATTAATCACAACGTCACTGGCAGTAATTAGTCTTTGGTACACAGCACACTGCTCCTTGGGAATCCTCACCTGTTCTCCTCCTTAAACGTCCTCCAGGTGAGTTCAATTATCCATACATTGTCAATCAGACGAGAACATGCTGCAAAAAGGTTCCTATAGGCGGGGCCAAAGCCCAACTAAGAAACGAACTCCCCCAGCGTTCATCACACTATCCCCTCCCCTCGGATAGACCGGACTCATCCTCGAGTCACATCAAATTATAATCCCTAGTCCAAGCTGGTGGTCTCCAAGAACGAGCTGGCTGAATCCTTTGAGGACATGGCTCTGGAAGGGAGCCTCTAGCTTCCATCCTCTGGTCCCCACTCTCCTGCTGCACCTCACCCGAACCAATGTCCACAGCAACAGGATGTAAATTTCCACCAGACAGCCCACCTTCCACAGCAGACTCTGATCTCGGATTTCTTTCGATACTGGATGCAACAACCCTCTCCCTTATCTGGGCAGCCTCTGGAGCATCAGGTTGATGATACCCCCATACAAATCCATATTCTTCCTCTGCACGGCTTTGGACCTCGGGATAACGTTTAGCAGTCTGGTCCTCAGGGACTATTGGGTTATCCTGCCCCACCGATTCTGAAAAAGAACAAGCAACATAAGGCTTCATTTTTGCCGGACAAACCCTAATGGTCTCGAGCAACACCAAGCATCCCCATCTTTCCCTGAGCGCCCAAAAACACCTCTCCCCCTCTCACCTGTTCTCCTCCTTAAACGTCCTCCAGGTGAGTTCAATTATCCATACATTGTCAATCAGACGAGAACATGCTGCAAAAAGGTTCCTATAGGCGGGGCCAAAGCCCAACTAAGAAACGAACTCCCCCAGCGTTCATCACAATATCATTCCCCAAGTGTTTTAAAAGTCAGATGTAAAACTAAAAACGTTATACTCAAGTAAGCACAAAAACATGGCATATAAATGTTGAGTTCCATCCAATTAAAAATCAATTACAGTATATCATTCTTGTTCAGTATTTACAAATGAAAATTTCTACAGAGCCTGTTGCAATGCATCCTGGGATTGTCCTGGGGCTCCAGGAACGGTTTAAACCCCTCTGGTTTACAGTAACATCCGCTGTACACCCTTAAAAATAAAGGTGCTTCACGATGCCTTAGAAGAACCTTTTTGTCTAAATGGTTCCATAAAGAACCTTTAACATCTGAAGAACCTTTCTGTTTCACAAAAGGTTCTTTGTGGTGAAAGAAGGTTCTCCAGATTGTAAAAAGGTAAGAAAGAGATGGTTCTTTAAAGAACCTTTGACTGAATGGTTCTTTGTGGAACCAAAAATGGTTCTTCTATGGCATCGCTTGAAGAACCTTTTGAAGCACCTTTATTTTTAAGAGTGTAGCAGGCCTTGCAACAGCTCTGAGAATGCAATGTGCGTTTCCTTTGTGTTTCCTTGTGTTCTGACACGTTTTTCTCAAATCGAGCTTGCATAGCTAAAAGTGTTTGCATTCGCATACTTACGTAGACACGGTTTCCATGAAGATTAATGCTTCTGATTTGAGGCAACATCAACTTTGGCGTCAGAAGCTTTCCTATCATGCTTTTAAAATGTTTTTGCAGTCCCAACAAAGATTTTTGAGATGCAATCAGAAGAAATGTGGCATTATCACTGATTGTTGCAACATGCTGGAACGCTTGGTTAGCAGCCACCAACCACCAGCTTTAGCTCCCATGCAGAGCCTTGGGTTCATGTGTTTTAACACATACACACATCCAAATTTGTCTAATATTTCTGTGCTGTTCTCTTTTCCTGTGAATTGTTTGAAACTTTCATGGACCAAAAATGTAGCTTTTTCCCCTTCATTGATCGCCAAAAGTGACGGATCATTGTGGAACTGAAAGAGAATGTGGTAGAGCAAGGCCTCCCTGCACAGGAACTTGAAGAATGAGAGCATGCAAATGATTACATGTGGTGCACTGGTGGTTAAATGCATGAAGTGTCTCTTTGTGCAGTTCTGCACACATGCCAGTATTATCACAGAAACACAGTTCTGCTTTGTGCTCAAGTATAATGTATTTATTTACATGCACACACACACATACATACATGGTAACACTTTACTATAGGGACCAATTCTCACTATTAACTAGTTGTTTATTAGCATGCCTATTATTAACATATTGGCTGTTTATTAGTACTTATAAAGCACATCTTTTGCATGACCATATTCTACATCCCTAATACCTCAAGTTAACTGCTACCTTACTAACTATTAATAAGCAGCAAATTAGGAGTTTGAGGTGAAAGTCGTAGATAATAATTTGTTATTTAATAGCGAGAATTGGACCTTAAATATGCAGTGTGATAATATACATATATGTTTTAATACAACACATTTCATTCAGAATAAGTCATTCAGACTGCCTTACTGTACATGAGCATAAAGAAAATATTGCAAATAATGCTCACACTTTATTTTAAGGTCCAGTTCTCGCTATTAACAAACCATTAACTACTACTTTTGCCTCAATAAACTCCTAATTTGCTGCTTATTAATAGTTAGTAAGGTAGTTGTTAAGTTTAGGTATTGGGTAGAATTAGGGATGTAGAATATGCTCATGCAGAATATGTGCTTTATAAGCACTAATAAACAGCCAATATGTTAATAATAGGCATGCTAATAAGCAACTAGTTAATAGTGAGAATTGGTCCCTCTACTAAAGTGTTACCAAAATAATCTTTTTATACAAAATAATTTATTTTAATTTAAAATGATAATGTGAAAAGAATGAACGAA